CCCCTTATACCCTGGGAAAGAAAGAAGGAGGGAGAGATAGATAGGTAGGTAGGCAGGTATGTAGGTGGGTAGATAGATAGATAGATGGATAGATAGATAGCGAGACAGACAGACAGACAGACAGACAGACAGACAGACAGACAGACATATAGATAGATGGATAGATAATGTGTGTGCGTGTGTAGGCTTGCTTTTGGCATGAGCAATCTGCTTCGGGTTGAGGCATCGAGTGTTTTGCTGCCAAGAAAACTCTGGAAGTTCGTATCCTGCTCAGTTGCACCATTAGCGGAGACGATGTGCTGGCCTACTACGAGGAGCGGATGTTGAGGGCTCTGCTGTGGGGCTTGCATTACAGGCTTGGGTCGAGGGTTGTTAATGGATGAGAAGCGGCGGTACAAGCAACCCGGCTTTTGGGGCACGTGACGGGTAGCTTGATCCATATCCGGACCCTGGCATCTGATCCATGCTTTGGTGAACCGCCAGGTTTGCTGTCGGGCACCTTGAGCTTGATAGTTCTGAGTTGGGCTGTGTTCTGGTGAGGCCATGCGTGTGCACTTCAAGAATCGAAAAGACACTTTCTGGGAGACCTACTACAAGCTAGAGCCGCTTAGCTGGCGCTGATTCGGAGCAATGGCCGGAATCGTTTTTGCTGCTGTGGCCTGCTGATGGGCGCGATGCCCGGGCGGTATGTCTGTTCAATGCGGGAGCACTTCGGATCTGGAGGGATTCGCTGGAGCAAGCACGCCATTTCATCTCTTGCCTCGGAAGTCCCGAAGCTTTCGACCTGAAAGCCGCTCAAAGCCCAAGGCCACTAGGATCTGGATGCTCTGAAGCCCACCTCTGGGCCCAAGGAATGTCACCGTCAACATCACTAAGTTCAAGTGCATCGACCTTGAGGCCCTTTCCCTGGTGTTCTGCGATTGGCTTTGATCGTGTAACAGCGACAAGGAGCAGGATGAGGAGAGAAGGAGCCGCAGGACGATGCTGGTGACTGTGGCGGTGATGCTGCGGCGGTGGTGCTGGTGCCGGTGCTGCTGCTGCAAAAGGTGGTGCAGCTGGTGCTGCGATGCAGGTACTGTTGATGTTTAGTTCAGTCATGTGTTGGCAGGAGCAGTTCACATCATCTAGTGTCTCGCAGTTAGCTGCAGAGTACATTGCTTTAAGATCGCGCCGACTGATCTTGGGTTGTTGAAGCAACTCCGGCCAATCCCAAAAGAGTAGCGCATGTCTTATTCCCTGGACTCTCGTGGAATCAACACGTTGGCACATACTTTGTTCTTGCTTTAGACAAGTGTACAACCAAAACAAGCAAGCTGAATGCTTGAAGCAGGTTGCCTACTTCGAAAAAGTCGCAGCTTGCGAGACTGCCCAGCTGAAGCTCGAGCAGACGGCCTGTGAAACGCATGAAAGGACTCAAGAGCATGATGTGAACTAGAGAAGTTGTCGGGTGTCTTACGACCTCATGTTTCTGTTTTGTAGTTTCATTCAGGGTTCGGGCTCCACGGCTTTGGCTCTGAAGGCTTTGGTGGAGCAATCTGTAAGCCTGCCGCAGCGACGTAGGACCATCGAGGCGTGCAAACCTCTTCCACAGTGCTGCCTGGCAGAGAGGGAGGTGGTTTAGGGGTCTTCAAACAATTATACACAGGGCTTTCCCCGACAGTCACTAATTGAGGGCCTCAACAGTTGGAATAGGTTAGAGGGCGCACTACGCCTGAACCCGTGAAGCGTCACTAGAATGCTAGGGTGCTGCTTACGTCTTAATAACCAGTGGCCATCCTGGAGAGAGGCCCCTCTCTGCAATTGTGTCGGGTTAGGTCGTTCGAGACAGGTGCATGCAGAGCTTCCGAGAGGTGCCTTAGTAGAGCAGATCACCTGATGTTTCCTATACTGCCAGTACCGGAAGCCTCAAGGTGTCTTTGCAACTTTGACTCTTTTATCCGAGGCCTTGTAGAATCCGGAGCCCTGCCTGCCCAGGCTATAACGGCAACTGGAACCAGTACCTGGAGGAGATGCAAAGCACGAACGACACCATCCAGGTCCGGGTGGGGGAAAGGCTCCTCCTGGTCGGGCTAAGGTTCATTTAGTTAGTTTCTGGTTTTGGGGTTTACGTGTTGGGTTTCGGTCATCTTCATAGTGAGTCTTGCCCACTTTGAGCAACACATTCTGCTCTACCATTTCACCAGATCTTCCGGGCACTATCTTTGGATGTCGACTTCGCTTGGGCCAAGACTAGCACACGGCAATTGTAGACGCACGGCGTCAATGGGCGACCCACAGTTTGACGCCAAGTTGTGGCCTCTCAGGACCTGAAATACGAGTACCGTGCCATTAAGCGTCGCTCGGCTTGTGGTTTTGCTGTACGTGGAGCCTGGGATCACGGAAACTTGGAGTCCTTCAGGCCTTAAGGAGTCTCGGGGGCGCTAAGCCGAATACTGAAATGAGCCAGCTGGCTCACAGACATCCCGTATCCAAACGGGCGAGAGCATTTCTGCATTGCAAGCTCCCCAATTAGTCAGAAGCTGTGTAATTTGAGCAGGAGGGCGAGTAGCTAGGACTAATGACAAGTTGACTTCTTCCATTTCTAGTTCCAAGCGAGCTGGGAATTTTGCGTGCCTTTGTGTGCGTGTGTCAGGGTTCAGATTCGGTTTTACCATCAGGATCCGGAATTCAGGCTCGTTTACATATCTGTCGTTCAGTTGGAGTGTGTTTTCAGCTTTCAATCTTCAGGATTGGGGCTTCGTAGCTTTCCACTCTTCAGTCTCTTCAGTCTTTGAGCCTGTGTGGCCGACTGTGCAGGGGTCCGTTTTGCTTCAAGGACGTCGTAGCCTGATGCCGACTTCGTGTGAAACTAAGGCTCATGGGTTTCGGGAACGCTCAAAGGTTTCGTCTGTAAAAAAAGGGATCGGCGGAAGATCACTGATGCCGAGCAATGGTCTGCTGGTCCAAGCCACAAGGCATCGAATGCTTGATGGACGCCTTCGCTGCAGATGACATGGACAAAAAGATCGATGAGTGCATCGAAAAGAGGCCGATGGGGATCTTGATGGTGAAACCCATGAACGGTTACCACAGGAACTCACGTGCTGCCACTGTGGAACGATAGCCGGTCCAGTTGTAAAAGAGATTCTTCAGGTACGGAGTATCACCGTCTTTTGAGTAGTGCTGTGCTACACCTCCATGACGGGTCCTGGGTTCCTGTCTTTGTCTTGACATCGCCTGAAGATGATGGGACCCCAGCATATTTAGAAGCGGAGCCACCTCCGTCTCTGTTGCAGACGAATACAACACAGGGACCGAGTTTGCAGCAACTCTGTCAGCTCGGATCATGTGGAAGGCACAACACCGATTTGGTGAACAGCACCTGCAACTTGGCATCCTACCTGGACGCCTCATGGAGTCGTAAAGCTGTAAAGCTTGAGCCCTTCAACCTACAAGCCAGTGATGCTTCGACCCGTCACCATTCTTGGTAAGCACCTGTTCGCAGCCCTGCCGGGTTCAATCTGTGGCAGTTCCAGTGTTGCCAACCCCAGGTCCTAGAGAGCTACTGCAGCCGAATATAGTAGATTATGTATATCATGGTAAATCAGTTCGAAAAATTCTAGTATACTGTAGTATGTTATAGTATACTGTCGTATACTATACTGTACTATATTATAGCTATGATGTATTCTAGCAAATTTTCCGTATATTTAGTTATACTAGCTCCGCTATACTATATCTCCTACAAAACTGTTCTTTGGTGCGCTTGGCCCAAGGTGTGGACAACCACGAGAACGTGCAGAGGGCGAGTTACACAATGCAGGACGTTTGCAACACAGGACCTTCATGGTAAGGGGGTTTAGGCTTCCATAGGATTCACGATAGTGACCGGAAATCATGGTAGTTCAGCTCTGGGAACCTTATGCACTTCTGTTAGGTTTTGTCGATTTAATTTTCATATGCCCTGTAAGAGCCGGCTTTGCCGATTCCAAAGCTACTAGAGTCGAGGATTAATGCAGCAAGCTACCTTCTTCAGGTTCTGATTGCGCCGTCCCCACTTCGGCTGAACTTAGCCCATGAAGCGGAGTGGGGATGGTACTGGTAGTGCATGCAGTACTCGGGTGTGTGTTTGGTACTCATCACTCAGTCCTTCCGGAACACATGGCCGTGGGCAAGGAGTCAAAGCCATCCTTGACCCCAATGCCAGCAACTTCGATGCCACGGAGTACACTTCCCAAGGCGGCAGATTTTGGCTCCGGGCGTCGCTTGTGTTCGATGAACTCGTTCTCCAGGCGAAAAACCAAAGAGCCCGTCAAAGAGCATCACGTTATCAGATGAGTAATTAGTCACGGAGGCCTCGAAGGCTGGACAGTGACACGAGGCGACAACCCTGCCACAGAGCTAAGTCCTCTCGCGAGGGAACAAGCCTTTCGAACTGGGATCCTCCACGGTCGGATTCAGAAACGATTCACCCAGGTATTCAAAGGCCAGTGGTCGGCCAGTGTCGGTGGTTTCTTGTGCGCAGAGATTCTAGTCGAAAAGGTCGATGGCACGATTCCACATCGCACGCAGTGCTTCGAGACCGTTGATTCGGCGCATAATTCAAGATTTTGCACTGGGATTTGTCTCATGTTGGTCAATCTGTGCATGCACAAGACAAAGGTCACAGCCGCAGGGAGGAATGAGCCCTTTTCCCCTCAGGTGCATCAACAATTAGAAGCCCCCCACTCCCTTGACTCCGCAATGCCCTCTGTCCTGCTGCCTCAACCCGAAGTAGACCTGCGAAGCCCTGGAGTACAGCACCCCTGCAGGCATCACTGCATCCCGATGCATGGCTTCCTGCTGCACTGTGGATTGGTACAGCTGGACCACCTACGGAGCCTCGGGCGCAGCTCAGGGCTGGACTTGGAAGGAACTAATCATAGAAGAGACAAGTCTAAGTTTGGTGGCTCTAGTAGTGAACATCACAGATTTTGTAATGGTAGGGTTAAGATCAGAACCTGGATTGAAGGCAATGCCTACGTGGCCACGAACCACTATCTCATCGATGAGGCCGTGCTTCAGTAGCTTGCATCTTGCGCAAGGAGGGAGACAGGGGCCACAGGAATTGTTGCCCTTGGAGATGATCCGTAGGATGCGGGGAATCCAAGCAGCATCCTAAACCCGACCGTGAAAGGCCACCTCCCGCAACATACCCCGGAAAGCACCGCGTTTGAGCACCCGACGCTCCTCTTAACATCACAGTGGCTCGGCCTGGAGGCTACGGGCCAGCCAGCCAGCTTCGCGACGATGGAGGACGCCGCATGTTTGGGGGGGCAGGCTTCGGAGAAGGGTTGGCTGGGACCGGGAAATCATCAGCAAATTTGGGCCGTGGAGGCCAGCATCGAGTGGCCCACATGAGCTGGTCAATCGTGTAGAGTATTCATGGACCCATGTGCATTTGCATTGCCGGCTCGGTACTGTGACCGACTGTGCACCGCAGTCTGAGTAAGGAGCTGAAACGAGAAAAGTTTGCAAGGCCCTTGTATGCAGCAGGCGTGTTACGCAAGCCAAAAAAATAATCGCAGATGAATGTAAATGCTGCAGGCACTCCGTGTAGCAATTCGGAGTTATCGATGCTGAAGGACGCCAAGGCCGCCTGCGAAACGATGGGCTCTGTCCATTGCATCCTGGCTGCAATCTGTCGGGTTGCTTCTGCTGTCCTTCTCCTCTTTCATATTTACCAGTCGTTGTTGCAGCCGCCGCTAGCGACGAGGACGAAGTAGGAGTATTCACAGTAGCAGTAGCCGCAGTAACAGTCGCAGTAGTAGGAGGGAGTACGTATAGGAGTAGGAGTAGTAGGAGTATTGCCTCTTCACCCCTGCTGTGGTTGCAACAGCAGTAGTAGTAGTAGTAGT